AGCCTGCAAACACAGGTTTTTGTACGCCCTGAAAAAAGCTCTCTTGTAGAAGCGTGAGATGAAAGTGATTGCGCGCATTCTTGAAAACTTCCGAAAAAGGTTGGATTCTTCCATCAAAGCGGAAGATGGTCATTCTGCATGCGAGATTTGATATGTTGTCTGCAATTTTGTGATGATTGTATAGGAGTAACTGTCTCCTATTTGGTTTGATTTGTATAATTTCGAAGCTAGTTTTCTGCGTTACACTTCATGTGGGCCACCTGGTATACTGTAAACTCAAGGTCTGGCGGAGGCATCGGCACGCACGATGTCGAATGCTCACCCATAAAAGCGAAGAATAAGGAGTTTCGAAAAGCACATTTCACAGGCGATAATTGAAAGTCTGACTGACGCTCGACGATAGCAATACTTTGAAATACTTGTTTAGTTTTACTCAACCTCACAAGACTTCTCTGATTCGGTAACATAGGCTTAAATAGATATCTTGATAATTATGGCGCGTCCAACAAAGTCTATCCCTTTTTTCTGTCGCTTGTAGACCGATTTACACGAACTTTCGATTTAGACGTATCCTTCTCAACACCGAAAAAACAGAATGGTCGAAGTGACGACGACGTGTTCCAGATCACTGAACAACATCAACTAGTCTAGCACACTATACTGATTATTTTATCTCATTGCATATTAAAATGCTCTAGTAAACTGTTAGGCACGTTAGGTAGGTTTATGTATGAGCGATAATTGCCAGTGATTTTTTACGGGTAAACGCATTTATCTCTATAGACGTCTAACGCCTAATACTCAATTGTTGTTAACTGCATTAAATTGTGTAACTGCGAATATCTTTATGAAAGAGCGTCTTTGTTATTATTGTCATATTACTGTACAAATGTCAGTGTGACGAGACCAACGGTTACGTTGATGATCGTTTGTTATTGTTTTATTGCTGCAAATGCTGCTGCTGCATTTCATGAAAATACTCAAATACTTCCTTTTCACTGTCAACCGGGTTACATAGCTAATACATTTTAATTTTTCACATATAAATGTGACACAGGTGTTTGTCTTTATTTTAAAAATAGAATACAATAAATTTCTATGGACTCCTTGGTGTACATGTTCTTCTATAGCAAAAATACTGTCAAGGTCGCTGTTGGTTCATTATCCAAAAAGTGGCCTTCATGTTCGCTCAAGATTGCTTGTAACAAGTTTTTGTTTACTGCACATTCGCACTTACAAAGGGCGGAGGTGATGTACTGGCAAGTGGTGCACTACACATACGCATGGTCTCGGATCGATATCCACTTAGGCCAAGCAAGCCTTCTATTTTTTTGGGGGTCAGATAATTAGTTTCAGGCTCGTCCGGGGGGTAAAAGCACTGACTTGTATATCGGTTGGCCAACGCAAGTCATTGTATAGGCCACATACGCACTCATTGTACCGAACAGAAACTTAACCCCCCTCGTTTACACCGACGTGTTCTGATATGGTATCACAATGTTTATAGTTGTACAACAAAACATGTTGCCTATATAAACTCTAGGTGGTCCATTCTCCTCACTTTTTCGACTTCTTGCCTGCATTCTCCTGTGCGCTGTTCATCAGTCAGTCCAGTCACCAATCGCAAGACTGTTTGTGTTCCAACGGAATAAAGGATCTCAGTACGATCAAGTGGCGACCCTGGCAGGATAGAAGAAGCATTTTCAAGGAGCGATACTTCCGTTTATAAGTTTGCCTACCCTTTTAAAAATTGTTCGGCGGAAAACTAAGGGCAAAACAATTAGGGGTTGCACGGTTACAACTGTAATACTTGACAACACTCAATTTAGTATCGACATTGAGAGCTTAGTGCAAAACTGAGATATAAAATAATTAAAGACTACGGCATAATATAGCGTCATGTCGCCACCGACTACCACGACAGGAATAGCCGGGTGTAAATAATAAAATGTAACAGGATATAAAACAGTGTATAATGCAGTCGAAAAACTAATTACTATTGCTAACAGAAATGATTCAGGTTTCCTTCCAAATTCACACCAGGATCATGATACAAAAAAAGCTCAGGATAACTGGTGTAAATCTAGAAAGAAAACCCTGCTTAAATGATCCTCAAGTGCTTCATAGCAACGAGTGCAGCAATACAAATAAGTTGGTAGTTGGTTGCAGCAGTAGAATAAAATCAGAGCAATACTTGACGAATTCGGCAGCAGAAGTCAGAGGAATAAGCGCTCAATTCAGTAATGTAGTGAATAGCGGAGTAGCGGTATACATGACCATCGGCGCCCCAGCTCAATTTTTGGGGTACGTTCATTCCCCTCCCAGGGTGGAGAGTCAATGGGGTCGGACTTCTCTGAGCTCTCGCTAAGGTACGGTCGCAGAGGCAAAACATCACATGATTATCGAAGGCTGTCGATTCTTCACCTGTTTATAGGAAGAAGCTTTGCTCCATTGTCACTATCTTGACCCAAAACCTACCATTTGAACTTTCGCGCCCTTCGCAAACATTTCCTTGGGGAGACTCTCCCCTTCCCTACCCTGGGCGTTATGCATACGGGCCATTATCTTGACAACAAAACATGACTTTCTCCGGACGAAACCGATTTCCTCGACGACTTTCCTCCACGTCGCCGTCTCCCGCTGCCGCCGCCGTTGGCCAACTTATTTTTGGCAATGCCAAGGCACTCTGCGCTCTTCCCAAAACCAGCGCTGTGGAACCACCTACTTGACTGGGCCGAATCCACCCGTTCGATCATTCGCGTTCCTGATCTCAACCGATACATATACAGCATCCAGATCCACCTTTCCTATTCTTCCAGGTGAGATTCTCCCCTTGATTGCTTTTCTTTCTTCATTTCTCTGGCTTTGTCGTTAGAAGTCCGGTTCGGACTTCGGGTAAAGTGGGGTGGTGTAATGGATGCGAAACATATGTAGAGCCTAGGAATATTTTCACGTGACTCATCATCCTCTTTCAGGGCGTGGCTTAGCAGCGATGAAGAAGCCTGAGGAGTCGATCGGCTACACGGACCGAGGACTGCAGCCGTCCGTCCTTCCATCCATGAGCGAGACCCTGTCTTATACGGAAGAGCTTCTACCTCTTGCCTATTGACGAATCTTCTCTTCCGCATCTCATCTAATTTATGTGTATTTTGTCGTTATTACTGCCCATTCGATGACTCATGCTTGACTGATGCTTTAAAGATAAATTATTATTAGTCAAGAGGTGTTGAGGCAAGAAGATCTCAGCGATTGCACCTTCCACTGGGCGCGCTCGCTTAGTGGAATGTGATTGTCAGCGAGACGACAGGTAATTCAGTGGTTTAGGTTTGGGCGATCAGACGAAAACGACTAGCTGTCTTAGCCGATTCACCAAACTGGTGACCGTTTGGGCTTCTATATACTGTCGGTGGTTCGATGGTACACAGATGCCCTTTTGCAAATTGTATTCCGAGCGATACAACCGCTCGCTCACAAAAACGATTTCCGTATCAGCATATTTGGGGGTTTTTATAGAGTGTCGATGCGGGAGTGCAAAAAGACTAACCTACGAGTATTCACATCTTCTCGCTATATATAGAACGGTAACTTTGACTGTCTGTTTGTTGGTGGGTTTGTGCGTCCTTCTGAAAGTCACGTAGGCGTGAAGGTTGTGAATTTCACGTGAGCGCTCTGAGGACATCTGTGGTGAAGTGGGAAGTCAACCGATACTGCTTATGTTGGTTCTCTAACAAGCCGTAGGTCAGCGGTAGTGGGCATGGCATGGTGCACGCGTCAGCGTACATAGCCCAACTGGTATCAACATAATGTATGAAGGTCGAAATTATTGTAAGTCATAAACTTGCTAACCAAGTACAGAGTAAAAGAAAGGTCATATGGAGCCATAAAAACTGGGTTGCATGGGTGGCGTCTAGGTGGCAACTGAGTACCATGCGACACAACTGCAAAAAGGCTGCGAGGAGCCGCCCCGAACGACGCCATGATGGGCCCCAACGTAATAACGCGCTCCAGTGCAAGGGGCGCGTCGCTGCTGCCGCCCACTCGGCGTTCAAGTGCTTATCTAAGAGTTTTTCGGCGGTGAGCGGTTTCTTTCGTTTATTTGGTTTGAAAGGTGATAAGATTTCCCAGATAGTGCTATCTGTGGTCGAGTTTTTAGTGAACTTTTCGCCCTTCTGTAAGCACAAGCCATCGGCATTTGAAAGTAGTTGTTACTATCTTTTTGAACTTCCTTTAATAAAATGTAAATACGCGGAAAAATCATACATGTACGTGACATATTACATAATGTTTAGAGAATAACAGATTTGAACTGTTTTCCAGAAATGGTTGTGGCTCGTTCTCTTTGTGTAGCCATGCGCTCACCCATAATGCAATCGGCAATGATCACCACAGCCGCTACACCCGATATGTTAAAATTCCGTTCATCAGTATTGAATAGTTCTGCGGTAGGAGCAAACTTTGGAGGCCTGACCATGTTAGGCTAGATTTTATTGTGGCCTACTTGTGTTTCACATCTTAAGAGCACATAATTTAGGCGAAGTTAAATCGCTATGGTGGTCGCCATAGTGTAACAGTTCTTCCTGGAGATGGCATCGGTCCAGAGATGCTCGAGCATGTGGCAAATATTTTCGGATTTGCACAGGTAAGGCTGTTCACCAGATTGTTTTTTTTTTCGAGGCCATCTGTCTCAAGTGAATCGTCCATCTCCCGATTTCCACAGTGCCTAATCGTAATTTAAAAAACAAAATAAAAAGGAACAGGCACGCTTTACGAATAAGAGGTCTCATTCTTCGACACAACCTTAATTCAATACATACATGCGGTAAAAATGTACAAGGAGAATTGAATTGCTCCGCCGTGCTCTGAATCCTAACGCTGTGGGCTAGATCGTGAATAAAAGACGGGATAGCGGCTTTGCGGACCGGTAGTGGGGCTCAGAAATGTTTTTGTGTCAGTGGGATAGAGCTTTCCACGTTAGCGTATGAAGGGAGGATCATTAGGTTTAGCGAGATGGTGATATCGTTCGAAAGTTCATATGGAAGGGAAGTGGACTAGTGGAACAAACCCTCGTGGAGACGATAGATAGTGGTGTGAGGACGCGTGGCTCCATCCAACCCTATTTTCACACATGCGCCCAATCCGTCACATGATGCCGCATGATTCTCGCGTCTTAAACCCATGGTTGGCTTACGGGTCCTTACTAGTGTTGTATTGCATCACAATTCAAGGTTTGAGCTAGTAAATACAGTTGTAAGAAGGGGGTCATATAATAATGTGGGTACGCTTAGAATCTGAAAGCGAGGTGAACCGTGAACGGAGAATGGTGTGGACTGCCCCGAGGGCTACTCTAAATACTGTGGAGACGCAGTTATACGTCGACGGTCAGATCGTCGTGGTCACTTCGTGCTTTATTACATTTCGAGGGTTCAGTATGCCAAATTACTTTGGAGCATCCTTTTTTCAAGAAAGAAAATGTCCCATTACCTTTTTCAGAACAAGTACGTTGAAAGGGTTAGTTTAGGTATGTGATTGGAATAGATTTTGGAACTTGACAAACTTTTATAGGTACCTGTCGACTTCGAACAGGTGGACTTGTCATCGAAGCAGGAATCTGTTGATGATCTCAATCAGGCAATAACGGCAATCAAGAGGAATGGTGTAGCATTGAAGGTGGGAATTTAAGTCCGACACCGTCGTATAGATTCTTTTTTTAATGTTTTCATTCTCTAGAAGCTGTTACTAATCAGCAGATCGGTCCTAGTTTCCCTCGACATTGAAGCATAAACATTCTCATGCTTTTAATGCTTTTTACAAAAGTGTGAGCCTAAAGCGTAGAGTCGAAGTTTGAAGCATGACCCTTTTCATTGTGTGCTCACTGTAAAAAGTTTGAGTGAAACGTTTGTGATCAGAGACTTGGAACTGTGTTTTGCATTGAGACGACTTTTAAGAAAATTGGATTATCGCAGATATCCGTTTCGATAACGGTCACGAATAATAATCGCCCCCTTGTCCTACGTTGTCTAATTCAAAATTTTTGTGAAACCTAATCGAAGCACTTCTTTTTTTTCACGATGGAATAACAAGAAATTCTCGAGAAATCACTTGGACCACTGGAAAGATAACCCCATTTTAATGGTCATCTCCTTAGAGGCCGTCTTGTGGGTCATAATCTCGACAGTGACTGTAATTTGTAGTGAAATAATGTATAATAGTGGATGCAAATAGAATATTTCTGGTGTTCGTCCAGTGTCGCGAGGCATCCAACAGCCGCCTTAGTCAAACGTTCATTGCGTCATCGCGTGACGTATCTTGCCCCACTGATCATCGATCTTCATCGCTGCGGCGCCCCTTATCTTTCCTCTTTGACGGAACTCATAAGTCCGGATTGCTTTGCGCTCATGCGTGTGTCGTGAAACTGTCCCTTCCTAAGAGCATTGCATTGACTTCGTCATCTTCCCACCACCTTTTCAGAGACTGCAGAATCGAAAAGAGTGGAAAGATCCGGATGATTTTTTAATCTCATCCAGCTCACCCGGATGCCTTCAAAAGCTCCCCGTGATGCTAGTTTCCTTTGGCTCAGCTCTAGAGCTCAGCCGCTCACCATGTTGACTTCTTGTCTCGAGATCTGCATTACTGAAAAGCTAGCATCGAGACATCTGTTTCTCATGAACCTCGTCTTCGCAGGCTAGCTGCAGGCTCAAATTTCGAAAAGCGTTGCCTTACTTGTCCAGCGCTTGTTCCGCTTACTTGGTGATCAGTGTTACAAGCATTATGCCATCTGCAAAGCCGAAGTGATTCAAATGTCCGCGATCGGCATTCACTCCCCTGTCCCTTGTCTTCCCAATTCACATGACATATCGGGACTAAAACGTTGGATTAGATGGTATCGTTGTGTAGGGCTCGCCTCGGACAATTCCTTCCTAGTACTTTGATAAGATTCTACTTTTAGTGAGGTGATGAGTGCTAAGAAACCTTCCTTATATAGGAACATTCTAGTGGATCTGTGTCAAAGATAGACATAACGGCCTGTGGCACGCCTGCAACACTTCATTAGTCTTGTGACTGCTGATATGATCAATCGGAAGGATCTTCTTCGGAACAGTGTTGTCTCACAGATAAATGAGCCAACGTAGAAGTTGACATCGAAAGGAACTAAGTCCAAATGCAGTTGTCGAGTAACTCATGTCAAGGTCCTATCCCCGCATCAACTGAACAAACTTTTACCTTATTGTTCAAGATACAATTTTGACAAGACGTTCAGCAGACTCCATAGGTCATATCCCTTTTCAAATCCTGCTAGGATTCTATTGGAGCCAAATGTGAATGAAATCTTCAAATAAAGCCTGTCCTGTTCATCCTTTGCCTTAAGGTAGATAGGTGCCTTGAAGACTTTTAGATCAGTACCCTTCGTCCAGAAGATTTCAGGTTTATTTCAGTGGTCTAGAGTACCGCCTGAACTATAATTCCCAGAGCGTTCCAGATGGGGAAATAAACATAGCCTCGTTTAATCCATTCTGGCAATGTCTACTTCATGGGAACCCAAAAAGGAATTCCCAAAAGTTAGAAGCTCACCCACTTTAGCTCCACATTGACGCTGGAAAATCCCTCGCTGTATATAGCCGGCGGTCTGCAGCAAAAAGTTTTATGAAATCTTCTCCTTTTTATTGTTGTAAGAAAGTGCCATCATGTGCGGCTCATCGAGCGGAATGATACTGTAACTGTGGCTTGCAGGGAAATATCGAAACGAAATTCGATGATCCACAATTTGTATCACGCAACGTTGAGCTACGGCGACAATTGGATTTGTACGCCAACGTTCTTCACTGCTGCTCCATTCCTTCTGTTCCAAGTAGGCACAATGTACGTTCTACTTACGGTTTTAGCGTTTTCTCTTCCTTCTCCTTGAATGCACCACGGATAATTTTTTAGTAATCGCCAGAAATGTACTCGATTCTATAAACAATGCAAACTGCAACATTAACTCCTTACTATATTTAGAACATTGATATGATCATCATTCGCGAAAACACGGAAGGAGAGTACTCTGGGCTCGAGCATGAGACGACGCCTGGAATAGTTGAAAGCCTAAAGGTTCGACTATTTCTCCAAAACGTACGAGCTCTAAATGATTGTTTAAGATCGTAACTCGAGCTAAAATCGAACGTATTTCTCGTTTTGCGTTCCAATATGCAAAGAAGTACGATCGCAAGAAAGTCACTGCTGTTCACAAAGCCAATATACAAAAGCTAGGAGACGGCCTCTTTTTGAAGGTATTATTCCATTTTGTTCTCTCTTGTAGAAATAAATAAAAAACTTTCGTCACAGGTTTGCAAGGAAATCGCTGAAAACGAGTATCCAGAAATCAAGTTCGATGCAATGATTGTTGATAATGCTTCCATGCAGCTAGTGAGTCGACGATTGTTTTCCAAACTACCATTTTCGTCACTTTTAATCTCAGCGTGTCATTTGTTTTGCATTATATACTTTATCCCAGTAGTGAGCGACACGAAGTATGGTACGGGTGTCCGCATTGTGCTTAGGTTTTTTGCTCCACCATCTGCCTTATCCGGTGATGTTCTAACACACATTACGTGATAAAATTCCCATCCCCTGCTGGAGTAGCTCATGGTGACTGCTCTATTAAATGTTTCTCTGAACTCGAAACCTATTCAGAGTAATTCTTGCTTACATAAGAGTAATATATGCTAATTACATGAAGTGAAATATGGTTGTATGGTCGGAATAAGCTACATATAATGTCCTCGTGGTAGGGATAATGTGAAAGTTGGTTTATCGGGAAATAGAATTCTAGAGCCCATCAGCTCTTTATTCCATTGGCTCATAGTAAAAGGTTTAGGGACTAAAACGTAATCAGTGGCGTGTTCTGGTATGTTTGACTTTCTTTTAACTTATTCTATTCCTACCGCAGGTTTCCCGGCCTCAGCAGTTCGATATCATGTTGATGCCAAACCTTTACGGTAACATTATTTCTAACATTGCTTGTGGCCTTGTCGGAGGTCCTGGCTTGGTCTCTGGAATGAATATTGGAGACGAATATGCAGTATTCGAGACCGTGAGTTATAGCAATCGAATTTTTACATTTCTATTTCTCTGTCGAATCAAATAGATTAGATTGTCTTTTGGAAGAAAGTTACTGTCACTTTTTGCTTCTTATACACATCAATGTCTCCCAGAATTTAGTTGTCAGCTATAGTTTTCAAGTGTGAAGGTTTCCAGGCATTTCTCAAAAACTTTTCTGTAGTCTTTTCTGGCGCTTTCGGGACCAACGATGCATTGATGTGATCATTAAATCTGGCCATGAACTTCATCTTTTGAAAGGACAAGACTAAGAAAGATGAAATTATCACAAAACTCTCTTGTGCCAACCTGTTCCGATGCAGATCCTGCCTTCTAACGTTTCGCTCCTTCGTTTTCGCCTCTAACTCATACTTCCGTAGGAGAATTGAAATGTCTCCTAAAAAGTGTTTGCTTAAGTTGCTTCTGATCCATCCCTTCTTAGCTGCTACCCAATCTACAATTTCACTAATGACGGCAGAGAACTTTGGAGAGGAAAGCTGACGAGTGGCGAGCCTTCTCGTTCTTGGACCTGTCATGTAGTGACTGCTTCTCCGTTTTAGCCTTCTTCCAATTAGAAAAATTTGTATCGACAACAGTCTTCTATCCCTTCTGTGGTTTATGATGATATGCTGTAAAGGGCTTTTTCACGCAAGCCTTCCGGAAAGGAGGGAACTGATCCTCAGTCATTACTTCCTGCTATTTATACGTACACGCACAAATACACTACTTGGAACTACTGTACTACTTGGAACTATCATTATGCCCCTAAGCAGGCATCAACCTGCGGCCTCTATGAAGTCACGGTATCTCGCGATGTTGGCGTGAAATGTAGACGATTTCTTCGCAACTCCTCTTCTATTGCAGGGAACCCGTAACACTGGTACTTCTCTGGCTGGAAAGGATACTGCAAATCCTACTGCTTTCATCAGAGCGTCTGCTGACATGCTAAGGTAGGTTTCTTCATGGTTTTGGAACTGAGCTCTTTTCCTCGTTGTCTTTGTGCT